ATTTAGATTTTAATGTCATCAAGGTAGTATCTGAATGCTAACAGTGCAGTAAATGGCATAATATTTAGTACATATGGGTAGTTTATACATATTCTACTAATAAATTGACATACTAGATGTGATTTATCTAACAAAATGCTGCATTTGTGATGGATGTGTCTAATCTGAACGGATCCCTTTGCCTATAATCAATGGAAAACACAGTAAATGGGTATGATTCATTTCGCTCTAATACAGATGCCTACAGTAAATCACATTAATTGTCCCAGACATAGATTTTCCCCCTAGCTTTTAAGGGTTAGCAGAACCTTATTGCCTATTTCACCACAAATCTAATATATGTTAAATTACATGCTGGTGAGATGTGAAATAACAAATAGTGGCTTGATTCAAAATGCACTGCTGCTTTTCTAGGAGCAAGTAATTATTTGCCAGTGTTACTGCTTTTGAGTAGTAGTTTGAACAGACCTTTTAATGTAAATAAGATCATTCAAGCAATATAGTATTAATTAACTTATGGACAGGTATATTAGGTTACTCACAAAATGCTGCTGATCTGCAGTTGAGAATAAGCTACATACTGGTACTCATTATTGTTGGTTTAGTCACCCTTTTTATTGGGCATGACACCCTGGTTTAAGTTTTCTGTGTAGCAGTGGTCACAAGTTAAGGATGGTTTGCCCATACATCCAGGGGAATCTTAGGTATTGAACTACAAATTCAGGTCTCCTTGGAGGAAATTAAGTGTTCAAAGAGTATTTAAACATGAAATAGAAAACACAGACTCCCTTGCTTAATAACTTGTGTCCGTCACAACAGATCTTGAAGACTGGGGTTGCACCAAGGTTTTCACAGACCTACTGGTTGCTTTTCACCAGACTGTTCATTATTGTTGCTTGCAGCTTGCACTTGCAGTGAATTTCATCACAATTTGTTTCTTTTCTAAGAAACAGATGGTATTTTTCAACACTAAAAAATTATAAAAAATTTGGAACCTGTTCTAGGAAAGCAGAGCAGTTCCTCAAGCTACAGGAATGTTTTGCTTTATTGGAGTTTTGAGCAGACTCATTGAAAATATTTCTTGAAATGATAAGTGGCTGCTTATCTTACTAAAGGTGAATTAAATATGCTTCCAGACTGTTTTATTTAAAAAACTCGTATTTCAAAATTCACAAGTGAAATATTGAAATTTAGAAAAAGGTTTGCTAGAACATTTTTATTAGTACTTTGTGCTGAAGGATGTGGGTAAATACACAAAGCTACCCTATGCTGTAAAATGACAGTGAAAAGGAGGAGCTCCTGTTACAACGGAAAAGTCATCTGAATTTTCCCCAATATGTTCTATCAGAGACCTTGTTAAAGTAGTGCAGAGGGCCAAAAGGCATAGTAAATATGGCCGAAGAGTGCAGTCCATGCTGCTAGACTAGAGCTGACTGGCACTCACATTGGTCCAGTTATCTCTTCTTGTACTACAAGTCAAAATATGGATAAACTCAAGCAAATATATCTTCATAAGAACATATGAGCAAACATCAAGCAGCATGTACATTTTTTTTTTAATCTTGGATTACAATTCAGCAGTTAATTTTCATTTCTCTTCTAAAATCAGGTGGAAAAACTGCAATACTTCATTGATGTAACTGTAAATTTCTAAGTGTTAGACCTTTAAGTCCAAACCCTTAGTTGTTGTATGAGATATCATTGGAAAAAAGTAAATTAATTTCTCTTTCTGCTTGTATAGCTCTACTATATCTCTATTTCACTAGTTGTATTGCTACTTTATGTCCATACAAATCAGAAGGTGTAGAATGAAATAGAAGGTGCTGACAAAAGTCAGGCCTTCCCCTCCTCTCAATTTTCTTTATGCCACTAATGCTTACTGAGTTTTTAGAGTATACATATAAACTTCAGAGAAAATGGCTTATGTCCCAGGAATGCAATTCTCTCTCCAGCTAAAACTAAGGGTATAAATTTTTTTCTTTTCTTTTTCTTTCTTTTTTTTGGTAAGACTTTACCCCAAATTATTTAAATAGAGCAGATTATGAGACTATTCAAGTTACTTTTGTTCTCTTTTGCTGCTCGTGTAATGAATGGCAGCAGTTAAAAGACCACTAATGAAAAAAATGGAAAAAAAGCCTCCTCAAGTTTAAATGAATACATTTGTTATTAATTATTTTCTCTCTGTATTTTCCCTCTTCCTTAGCGAGGATGCTTTCAAGAAAACCATGCTCTGGTTCTCCCAATACTGAAGAATTGCATTTTTCTACTTTGTCTTATCTGCTCCCTCTTGTCCCTTGCCATGATTTCTGAATCACAGAAATGGAGAGGAAGATAAATTTTGGGAGCTGAAGCTTAAAAGGTGATGGATGAACAGAATGTGAAGTCATTTCTCACTTCTCCCTTCCCAGAGCCCAGGGAAAGGTGCCAGCCCCCAGCTCCTTCTTTGCCAAATACTGGTGCTGCTGCCCACGGCCCTATTCCCAGTCCTGAAAAACTTCACCACCCCTCGGTGGTTGGAGGAAGCACTAGGAAGGATTGTCCTCCTGGGATACTTAATATTGTTGGTCCTCACTTGTGCTCCTTTCCCTACACCACAGTGACATTGCTTTTAATTTCTTGACAACGGGCCCTATTTCTAAATTACCATTCTCCAAGGTGTTTGTATGTGAAGGAATTTGGAAATCCAGGCTCACACATGAGGTTTCTACTTTGATCTTACATCTTAAGTCAGACAAATGACTTGAAATCTGGTGAGGTGCGTCTTTGCTCAAATTTCAGCTTTATCCAACTAATTTGCTGAACTGATGGGTGCAGGTTTAAGTGTCCTCATTCTTTTCTCTTAGCATGAGGCTGCAAAGCTGGCCAAAGCCCCTCTAAATCTCAAACCTTGCAGGAGACAAAGCAGTGCATCATATCACAAAGCCGAGATAAATTTTCATTGTCTTCAAGGAGTGATTTACAAAATAGTGAGGGAAATAGTTCTGGTATCCTCTTTTCTCTACAAGAGATCAGAAAATAAGCCTTTCAAAATATTCGAGCATACTCCTAAATCCAGAGGAGCTGAATAGTCAGAATCAGAATCTGCTGAATCAGAACTGCAAGTACAGTATATTTAGAATAGATAAAAGAGAAGAAACCATAATTTTTGTTTTAAAGACCTTATGAAAAATTCTTTTAATAGGACTTTTAGTATATTTTACTTTTCAGTGCAAATGACCTAAACAAAACAAAAGCATGTTAGCCTTTATATCCCTCCTGTTATGTGAAACATTGTACAAAAAAGTCAAGTTGATGAAGTTTGAAGTTTAAAGTTTAAGCTGAGACTGAAGCTATTGGCCCAAACAGTTCATATGGTTCTGATGTTACTTTCAGTGGTGTTTCTTTTCAATTTTTATGGTAGGATACCCAATTAAGAAACATATTTTATTATCTCAATTGAACCAGTCAGAGAAAAAAAAGCTATTACTTTTTTATTTAGGATCAGGAACAGGCCTGGATCACTGTTAGTAACATGGTAAAGATTTAGCAGTATGAAGTCATTCTGCATAAGGACAAAACTGGAGCTTCTTTCATACTAAGCAGTAAGCACACTTTTAGCTTTACATGATACATTCAACTGTGTGGAAAGTTTCCCTGCAAATATCCATGTGCAAATGTGTTGTATGCACTGACAAACAGGAAATCACCACATTACAGGATCATGGCCATGGTAGGGGATCGTGGCCAAATATATACATGGGTATAAACTCAGCCCTTTGAAATCCAGCTCCAGGAAGTATTTCCAAAGGCAAGAATAGTTTCTTACCATATATCTCAGCAAGATCACCTCTGAAGTGCTAATTACGTCTGCAATCATTTCCTAACACTTACCTGCTAGGAACTGTGCACACACATACCCTCTCTCTTTTCCACCTCTGCACATACCTTTAAGTCAACTATGCCCTGTAAATTCATCTACAGGTGGTACTGGCATTTGGACAGAAGGTTTGGGTCCCAGTATGGCAAATCATGTAGTTACATGTTCTACATTGACTTTTGTTAGACTATCTACATGCTTAAAATGCAATAAGTCTGTTAAGTGCTTTTACTGGATAGGGAATACTGCATATATCATATCATTACCAACTCTTAAGGTATCCAGTTTCGCTCAGGCATCCAGCTTGCTCATGCAGTCAGTGTTTTAACTGGATGATGGGATTAAATAGTCATTAAAATGTATGTAACAGGTGATATGATATTAAATCCCAAAGCTTTGACATTTAATTTTCTGGAATCAGTTTCAGCTCCCCAGTGCCCTGGAGTACAGTCAGGGCTGGTTTCCTGATGGTTTGGAAACTTTCAGCTAGAATACTCTTGATTTAATGACTAAATATTTTCCCTTTCAACCTATTATCATAAGTTTAAATGCAATAAAAACTTGAAATGCTGGACCGAATAATAGTTGCAGCACAGCCTTGACAATCCTGATCAGAAATGCTGCATTTCATGCAAAATAAATAATAAAAAATAATTATCTGAAGGTATGGGTGTACACCTTACCTGTACACAGACACTACTCACCAGATTACAAGTAAGTATCTTGAAAGAACCTTTTTGAAATTATGGTTTTGTGTAGCTTATATGTGATGATGTAGTGGCGAAACAACACAGAAAATACATATCATCACTAGGGAATATTCCAGTTTGATTTCAACACTCTTTTGCCTTTACATAGCCTTCTACACTTTCCCCTAGACACACAATAACATTCTTCTTTCAGATCCAGATTTTCTTCATCAGTACTGATTTCAACTGAAAGATATACTAATTCACCTGCTATTCAGCTTTTAGAGCTATTTAAAATCCAACAGGATTGCAATATCTTCCCTTTCCTCCCCATCTGTAGGCTGTTTTTATTTTCCAATGACCTGCTTATTCTGTTTGTGTTGGAAACAATATAAACAAGATCAGATGCTTCAAAACATTAAAGGAAAATATTTATTTCTATCATATTCCCTTATGGACTTCCATTCACATAGACAATTTAGTAACTGGTAAATAAAAAGTTTTAATATTTACACAAATTTCTCTGAAATACATCAATTTTATTTTTAGATACAGAAGATTAAAACAATATGGACAGGATGAAAAAAATGCAGAACTATAAACTACTTTATTGGTGTCTCACAGAAGAGGACATTCAATGCCCTGTAGTCCTTGCTGTTGGGAAAATTTAATGAAGTTATGCTTCTGTGGTTCCATTGCATTGCTATGACCTCGGAAGCAGAGTGACTTTAAAATGGTGGTGTGACAGACAAAAGAGAAAAACACCAAGGCTGTTATAAAAGACTATTTTACTATTGTTATAAGTGTTAAATATCATATCATTATTGATCTGTTCTCATTCAAAAGGCCAGGCAAATAGAAAAAAGGAAAAGAAGAAGACAACAGTTGTAACTCAGAAGAAAAGGTGACACATGCAGGCACTGACTGGAACAGTGAACTAACAAACTTGCACTTGGCACAGCCATAGTTTGGTAATACTTGATAAGCCACCTTTTGTGTAAACTGTTAATTAAATAATTTATTTTAAATGACAAGGCCTGTAGGTAGAGATCAGGCTTCTAATAGACAAATTTGTACAGCTGGGAAAAGTAGATAAACTTTTTAGATCTGAACGAACCTTTATATGCGGCTATCCTTCAGAGTTTAATTAAGATATTTCTTTCACTCAGAAAGTTTATCTTGAGCATTCCCTTAGACTCCTATGGGTACAATAACACCATCACAAATGTTTTGTGATGCATTTGCTATGTAAAGCTTTGGCTTTAAACTATTAATAGTGATTTCAGACCCCTTAATCTCTTTTTCTGTATCTAATTTTAATATGTCCTCTTTCAGTGTCAGACTCTATGGGACTTGCAGATTTCATATGATAGCAGGAGAAGACAGACCAATACCTCAGTTCTCAGCTTGGGAATGTGGAGTTCAGACTTACTCTTGTGAAAACATTTTCTTCTTTCCTGTGTCATGAATCCTGCAGTGGGTTGGCAGATCACGGAGTATAATCACTAACTGTGACCTCCACAATGCTGCAAATAACTGAGTAAAAGGCTCATTTGGGATGTATCAACAAGAGGGAAGCTAACTGTAAGTGTGGGGAGGTGTATCCTGAATCTTTCAGATTCATCAGGTCTCTGAATAACAATAATACTGTAGCCATAAAACCTCTGATCCTAGTGACATATTTTCTTCACCCAATAGAGTGATAAGTGAAGTCCTCAGACAAGAGAAAGTGGACTGAGAAGAGTACATGATGCAGATGAACCCACAATGTAGTGATTGCCAAAAACATGAACAACTCTCAAGAACACTAGATTTTTCAACAGAATTTTCTTTCCCCAATTTTTTTCTATTAGCTGTCAAGATCCTAATAAGGTTGCCTCGTTACATCCTACTATTAGAAAACTTGTTGATTAAGTGTTGACAACAAGCAGGCATTCTTCTACCCATCTTGAGATGAGGAAGAGTGCATCCTGGGCAAGCACCAAGTTCCTCTTGGCCCTTGTAGTGAGACCAGCACTGAACTCTTTCGGGACTGAACACCCTTCTCCAGGTTGTCTCAGAAACAGGGATTTTGAGAAAAGAGAAGCAAAGACATATCCCTGACACATACAGTTATTTTCAAAACTCATGTTTAATAATTTCCAATGACACACACTGTGAATTCACTTCTTTGTTTGCAAGATTATGTGCAAAGGTTAATTCAAAAGTAGCTTTCCTCCAAAAGAGCCTTTCGTGTCTCTCCCCTGATTCTGATTGCTGCATAAGTGAGTGCCAGATGAGACAGTTGTAGATAGGATAAAAATCAATAGTTACCCCCTTCTGAGTCATCAGTAACTGATTCTCTTCTTTGTGAATAACTGACAGTTTCTATGACTTCACACACTGCCAGATCTGAAATGCCTCCTGCTGTCATTCTATCTTATTACCAGAGGACTACAGTTTTTAAAACCTACTTTTGTCTCCATCCATTCAAAGCCAATCTATGTACAAATCATAAAAAAGACAATGTCACAATAACAAAGAATATTTTTGCAGAGAATCCCTCTTCTAGGAGCTCTTACCTTGAAAACAGTGGTGCAGACCCCCTTCCATCAGCTTAACACTGAGGTGTTTCCAGCAATAAAGTCACTTCTGAGTTTCACTTTCATGAAGAAAGTGAAATCAGGCCTATCTATTGCAACAAATAAAATCTACATATAGACATGGTATTTTTTCTTGGGAGAAGAACCTCCTTTTGAAAACTTGACTCGAGGGTGTTTTCAATGATGTTGTCATCCCTTCTGCCATCCTGAATTCCATATCTGTGCATCGCTGGAGATGCTTCTGGAAGTTCCCACTAAGCAGGATGTATAAAAAGGGATTAATGCTGCTGCTGGCATAGCTGAGGCACACGGAGATGTAGTAGCTCATATAGAAGGTCAGGGTCGGCTGAGAAACCTGAAGATTCATGAGCTGGATCACATGGAAGGGGGTAGTGCTGATCAGAGCAAGCACCATCTTAGTGAGCTTCATAACTCTCTGCCTGGGGATATGGTGGTGTAACTGTAAAACAAATAAGAATTCTTAGTCAAGGTGAGAAACTGATGGCATGGATTGAGTGTGGTAATGAACGGCAGTTATTTGAGACCAAGCAGTGCAAGCAAAGGTGACCTCTCAAGGGCTTAATTTTTTTTGCTGTTTATACATTATTTTTTCTTCTGCTATGATCCTATGCCACACATAGGAGACCCTGAGAATTGTTCATGTGTATTTGATGAAATACTGACAAATATTTTAATTAAAAATTCTTAATCTCTTTCATGTGAGCTACATTGCTTTGATTCCCTTTTCATCTGAGTGCATTTTTTTGCTGTCAACTAGAAGAGAAATATCCAATTAAAACATGACTATTAGGAGCTTACAGAAGACTTCGAGCAAAGAAGAAAACTATTCTCCTGCCTAAAGAATTAAAACCCACACTCAAATGGAAATCAACTTCCTTTCTGTAAAAAATTGGTATGAGCCAAAATCCAAAGTATGTTGTCCTAAATCTAAAACATCATGGCCAGGAGCTGCTCTGACTGAAACTGGGAATTATGTTTCATCTGTTTCAAGCGTCAATTTTCTTTTATTGCCTAGACTTTCTCAGACTGTGAACAGCAGCTAGAGATTAGTGTGGGGCTTGGAGTCCCCTTCCCACAGAAGGGGCAATACAACTTGGATGACCTGCAGCTCCTTGGGGCACTGCAGCTGATACCAGACGCGGCAGCCACATTCTCCCAGAGTTTCCTAATCCCTGAACTGAGAGCTTGGAGCCATGATATAGGCAGGTTTCCTCCTGCAGCTAGAAGTGCAGGGTTGAGTTGTGCCTTTTTGTTGACCTGAATTGAGGACTCCAGGTGTAACTTTCTCCACAGTGTTTCCTTCTAAATGATTTATCTCGGCTCCTTCCTTGAATCCTAGTCTGTTTCCTGGGAGCCTAATGCAGTGTCTGGAGGACTAAAAGTTACATGATGCAGTGCCTAAATATTCTTTTAGGACTGTTCCTTTTGCTCTGTTACATATAAAGCCTTTACAGTCTGAGCAGTATGAGAGAGGCATGAATAATACTTTACCTTCCTGCTTTCTTGTTTTGCTGATACATCTTCCATGTGTAATATAAAACTAAAATATAGCAAATAAATATATCAATGGTAAAGGAAAAAAGAAAGTTATGGTAAGATAAAGTGTCTACCTGTAAAACGAAACACAAAAAGAATAAACAAAGTTGTTAGACAAAGACCACCTCATAAATGTGAAAATTTATAAACAACATTTTCCATAAAGTTGTGATTCTTGATTAGAGATATGTGGTAACAGCAAGTACCTAGAATTGCAAGTACTTCTAAGGATTAAAGTCTTCACTTCTAGGAATATGGCTGACTACAAGATTATACCTCTCAGTTTTCCAAATTCTGTATGTGTGTGCTTTTTCCAGCACTTGTATAATTAGTGAAAATTCTTGCAAGCATTTATGCAGGGCACAGTCTGATTAGCCCCTTAATATTTTTCTAGTCTGACAGTAGATCAGTGATGACCACCTTCTGAGCAGAGCTTTTTCAAACATTTTTGAATCTGGCATTCTGGGACCAGTCATAGTCCTGGCCAAAAGGTACTGGGTGCAGACAGTATGTGACAGAGGCTGAGGATTTCAATTGTCCTGGATCTTGGTATTGCTTTGTGGCTGTTAAAATCACTGTGCTCTGTAAAGTGGTTTGAAGGGAGCTGCAGCACTGCCTTGTGACAGCTTTGAGTTGATATAATCACACGAGGCAACCAGGAACAATAACCAGCCGACCTCACTTTGGTGCTGCACAGGCCAGCTGCCACGACTTACAATGCAAATATCTGACACAAATCAGAAGATCCTTGTCTGTAGGTGCTGGCAACATGTTGCCTGCAAGACCTTGGGTCGTTGCTCAAGGTCCTGTACTTTGCTTTTCATGGATAGATTCACCAGCCTGCCAGAACAGAGGGCTTGCAGCACCTTAGTTGCTTGTTATCATTGCTCTTAAAACAATGAAGATTAGGAGCCATTACATAAGATGAAGAAAGATTGGTATTTCAGTCTTGCCTGAGTGCGAGTATGAAATAGATTTTTTCCCCCCATTATTCAAGCTTTGTAACAATCAAGTTCTTTCACTAAATGAGGTTAAAGTAATGGTCATCATTTCTAGAATCAGCAAAAAGCTGCTCTGGCATATGGTATCTTAAAAAGCTATGTCTGATTTCATGCAGTATTCTCAGTCCTCATGATGGTGACAAGAAATAACAGAAATCCTCTACATTTGTCATGGCAGAACTACTTTGTACCATTCTTGGTACAGCTAGCTCTCTGGTTTCACTGGCTGTTTCACGGAAATAGCTTCTGACACTGATACTGCTTACATGATCTGTGTAATTGAGAGTAATTTACAGGCTTCTCAGATTCTTAAAACTTGTGATTGCTCCTCTTCTGCACAATATTTCACCTCTTAGTCTCCATGTAAGCACAGTGTAAGCAAGCTTTCAGCTTGCTTTCGTTTTTTAAGTGGTGCAAGCAATAACATCTCTATGCAAAGTAACAGAACAATACGATAACTATTTTTCAAATTGTCAACAGAGCTGTTTCCAAAGAATGAATGCTGAAGAAAGTTACAAGGAGGTTACAAAAAAAAAAAATAATCAGGAAATAAACTGTAAGTCAAAGGAAGTATTTGTGAGAAAATGAAGGTGTGTAAGATGGAAATAGGATGCATGGGGGAGGCACAGAAAAGTGATATTAGTCTCTGACATGGGGTAAGAAGTGTCCTGAGTCAGCCCCCACTCTTCCCACTGGCTTCAAGGAAGGAGTCAGGATATTCCATCCTGTGCTGTGCACTCTGTACACCCTGTGAATCACCTCTCAGTCATGCCTACTGCCTGTCATTAATGAGAGACTGAACTTTATCTGGTGCCTACAGCTGGGTGATAAAAAAACTCGTTACTGCTTTCATATGCTTCCCATAGTAGGAAGATTTCAATGAGATCTCCATTTTGTTTCAACTTGTTCAGGCTCAGAATATATATATACACACACACGTATATATATATATATATATATATATAAAAATATACCTGTGCATACTATGCGCACAAATGTTTTCAAGACAGGTTCATATGCAAATAGATTTACTAGCAGAGTCTATAGCTGATGTCATATATTTACTTTAGGGGAAAAATATAAACTAAAGGAGAGAGAGTGGAAGAGAAACAATAGGGGTTGCTTCAGGCAAGGATTCTCCTCTGTGTCTCTGCTAGAGTGCAGTACATGGTTTTCCCTGTAATGCTTTTGCCATAGTATCAATGCATTTTTTGTCAGGACTCGCTTCTTACCAGTTGCTCCTGTCAACGAAGCTGTTGGTGTTGCTGAGAGTGTGTTTTGCTGAGGCTGCGCGCTGACCTGCTAAGTTTTGGGCATGCATGTTTTTGGGTCCACTAATGTCAACCAGAAGCTTCGATCACAGAGTAGGAAGAGGGAGGGGAAGCAGGGGTGATTCTCACGCTGGTGGCAGTCACTTCCCATGAGAACCCCCTGTAACAGTGCTGTGGGGTTTGCAGGTGCAGGGCCGGGAGGATAATAGTGCAAGATCCGCAGCGTGGGAACAAGGGGAAAGTGCTGCCCTAGAGACTCTGGGAAAGGCTGCCACGGTGGCTTGGATGACCAGAGCTGCTAGCAGAAAGCTGGCTACTCAGCTACAGAGAGAGGGCTGTGAGGCTCTTAAGGCACCATGTGACGTGTGGCTTAACGGATGATATCGCCTTTGCTCAAAGGACCAGAGCCCAGTGCAGCCCAAAACTTAGCAACAGTGAACGTAACTCTTTTCAGAGGCAGCTGCAGTCTAGAAGTTATCAGACTAATGCAGTTTGTGATAAAATAAAGTGTGCAAATGAGCACAGAAGATCATTAAGGGAAGGAACAGAACATGCAAAGGAACCCTCTAGCCTGGGATGGGTGCTGAATCCACATCTTCCTGCTCCAGGAATGCCCATCACTACCTATCTGTTGGGTGGTCCTGGCTTTTACTGTGTGGACGTAGTTTTCCTGGATACAGTGCTGAATTTTCAAAGGATTGTCACAAAAGTAAAGGGCAGGTTACAACAATGTCTTCAAATCTAGTCTGCATAAATGTGTATTTCCCTAAGTATTGTAAGATGACTTTTCACACTTTCTGGATCAATTATTTTCATATACTAATATGTGTCTATAAAGGAAAATTTACCTGGGTTCCTAATTCTCACTTTTAATATTCATCTGACCAAAGGAAAACATGATTTAATGAACTGAAAGATGAAAAGGAAATCATTAGGCCAAATGGAATGAAAACAACACCATAAATTCAATTCAATGTGAAAGTACATTATTCTTTTTCTTGATAGAACTAAAACTTATTCCAGTTTTTCCAACTTACCCTTCCTCAGACAACAAGAAATCAATCTCATCCTAAATGCTTATCAAGCAGCTTTTGTCTCCATTCTTTTGTAGCAGCGGGATTCTATTTGTTGTTTCATTTTGGATGTAATTTTAATCTTGCCTGTTTTCTGATGATAAATTTTTGAAATGAAGGATGAGTACTCCATTTGGGAAAATGTGTTTTGAAAGTAAGGGCTAATTTCCCCTTCAAGCAGAGAGTGGAACTTAAAGGTAGGTGTGTCCTCATCTGAAGAAATAGTTATCAGTAATAAAAGTCTTTTGTTGGGAAAACACTGAAGAATGTGTTTGTCTGAGACAAGCAATAAGGGGATTGTCTGAGAAGTGTCTCTGACATAGAAAATGGGAGAAGGAGGCAGCGATGGAGCCTGCCGAGATCTCAAAAAGTACAAGGCACCAGGTATGTGGTGCTTGTTAGCCGTGCCTATTACTGCGTTCTTTGTGGCCTTTCTGCCAAACCTCCTGTTACAATGCTGCCTGGAGGAACATCTATGAGACCAGCCACCACCAAAGTACATGATTGTGAAAGCCAAGGCAAGACTTGGAAAGAGGAAATATTTCATAAGAGCACGTGATCCTAGTTAATGTTTTAGCTAATTACAAATCATCTTGTCTGATTTGTAGCAAAGCCACAAACGTGCTCATATTTCTGTTATGCATATAGGAAATGGAGAGGAAAAATGTGTCTTAGAGATTAGATTTTTCCCTCACTTTTTTCTTCCTGCCTCTGGATGTATCTTAACCTATCCTAGGGCCTAACATTATTATTATGTATTGCGTATTGTCACAATATCTTATACTGACACTATTATTATTATCATCACAAATTTGCAGAAATATTATTATTTTAAACGTTAATATGTTGTCTGAATTGGCTTAAAATGTACTGCTGCTAGGCTTGCCCAAGAGACAGCAGGATGTATTACACTCAAGGGCAAATGGGCTGCTCAGGAGTTTGAACTTTTAAAAGGCTTTTACCTTTTCCTCTGGCTGGGGTGTGTGTAACTGAAGTGAAGCAAGGAGCGACTGAAAATGGCATGTGAAGAATGAGTAAATGGATTAGTCCATGCCAAATCAAGTGGTTCTGGTTCTAAATGACTGAAAGCCCATGACTTTTATAGGGTTACAGCTCCACCCTACCGGTGATACTGCCTTGGTAAATATTTCTTAGAGTAATATTGCAGCAATGGGCAAACCAGTAATACATTTTCTCATGCTTGTCAGTCTCGGCTGCTCCAAATGCTTAGAACACCTGTCTGCTTCTTTTCAGCTGTCACAGAGCTACTTACTCCAGATTTATCTTCCCAGTCTCACTTCTCCATTAATGTGTCTGCAGCCGTAAGGGTACGGGCTAAATAAATGTTTATGCAACTCTCAAAATTTATTGGTACTCATGTAACTCTTATATTTCAGGAACTTGTTCAGGAAACTTTTCCACTGCACAGAGATGCTTTGCAAACAGGATATTCTCAAAAAGCAATTGTTTATTGTCTATTTCAGTAGACAGCAGACACTTAGAGCTACCAAGCTCCTAGGATAAGTGTTAGTGCTCTTACCACCCCAGTATGGCACTCTTGGTTCTTTGCTGGGCAGATGTCAATGGGAACGAAGGGGCAATTTAAGACTCCCTCATTTTTGTTAATATTTATACTTCTTTGTGCCAGTGTTTATCTTCTTGAACCTGTGAGGGGCTGTCTCCACCTCAACAATCTCGTCTTGGGTTTCAGTCTATCTCACCTTAGCACACATGGGTCTGCTCTAGGTTCTTCTGCACAGCTTAGGGTTTAGCAACTTTCTCAGGATTCTAAGGTTATATAGCTGGGCCATACCAAAAGTACACTTTAAATTACAGGCAACTGAACACCTATGAAGGGATTACACCTTTTCCTATAACCAAAGTTTGTATTAAAATTAGTCAGAAGCAGCTGAACTCTGTAAGAAGGGACCCAAATGGTGGTATTTTCCTGTGACATGCTCCAGTAGATTCATGCCACAGGGAATGAGATGTGCCTTGCAGCCTCCTGTCATAGAAAGAAAGTCCAGTATAAGCTTTACCAGTTGCATCTTGTGTGCCATGAAGGAACGAGGAATGCTATGGCTTCTTACATCAGTAATTTTGAACGTGTAAGTCTTGGTTCTTTTTAAAAAATTTCATTGGCCAAAGAATTCCTTTGTCATTTTAAAGTCACTAACATTGCTGATTGCAGTGTTCATCTTCAATTAAATTCAAGTGGCATATTGGAATTTGCAAAGTGAAGACTTTAGGACATCATACTGGATCTTTTCACCCGTCTTATCATTCCTCCTGTTTCACCAGAGACAGCAACATAAGAGTATGTCAATATTTGAGCTTGAGGAGATGATGTCTGCAGCACACACAGTTCTGATTTCACCCAGGCCAGATTTGCATAGTGGTATTTTTGTTGAATAGTCAGATTTACTCTTCATGTACATGGGGGTAATTTATATTAGGATTGTTGTCTATGCATGACTACATGAATCCTTGTCCAGAGAACAGATGCTGTGAGTTGTTTCTTACAAAATTTTCTTTTAACCCATAAGTAAAAGTTGTGCTACCAAAGTTTCATCCAGGTTTAATTTATGTTATGTCTGTCTGTGGCATAAATATAAATCTGTATTAAAAAAATGTGTTTGATGTCAATTTAGGAAACTTTCTCATAAATTTTAGTATGCATACTTGACTTGCATAATTTTTACAGCTTTCCTTAATGCTTTTTATTGCATATTAAAGTGAGTAATGGAAAGCAAACTTTTATACATTGTATCCCTCCAAAACTGACCCCTAAAGCTCCATGGAGAGAACAGCTGGTTTTGCCACTTCTTAAGACCTTATAAAGACATTTTATTTGCAAAAAGAAATGTTGAAATACTAAAGTCTCTGTTGGATCATTGTGAACTCCTATTATGAAGAAGAGGCTTTATGAGAATAAAACCATTATCCAGCAATGTGACTGATATTAATTTGCATATGGTACTCATTTTATTTAGCTCAGGCTTCTTCTGGAACCTGCCTTCTCAGGTCTGACCTGCTCCTGTCTTCCATTCTAAGTTTTTTTATTTTTGAGAAATATGAAAGAGCACATGAAAATGTTCAATGCTGCATTAGTCATAGTTATGTTACTCATCATTTACTAATATAAATTATGTAAATTATGTGTCTTTTATTGTGAACGTAGGATGATTTTGCAGTCAAACAGTCTGATAAATTGCTGATTTTTTGGCAAAAATGCTAGTTTAATATTTTCACTTAATAAAGGCTCCTCGGTGGATTCAGAAGTGCTTTACTGAAACTGTCAAGGACTAAACAGTTTGGGAGGTTGTTATCTGAAAAACTTTTGTTTCTCTTGGCTATAATGTCATAATTGTTATTAGGAGTGATAAAACTAAGGAGAGAGAAATAATTTGAACAGTTTTCCCTAGGCAAGTGTATATAAGATGGAAAAATCTGCCTCAAAACAAAAAAGAAAGCACAAGCTTTCTTTCTGGAAAAACCACAAATTTGTTTTAAGACATGGCTTTACTTGGGACATAAATTATTTTTCATACCAGATTTTGATATTCTGTCTTTTCTCATTAGGACCTCACGTCTTATTCCTGCCTTAATACTTACTATCTTTTGCATAATTTTTTTCTCTAAACAAAAAGATTAAAGATACTGCTATATGTAAATTCTTTAGAAATATATGTCATTTGTCACATTACTCATACAAGAATACAAGAATATATAAGAACAAAGCTTTTAAAAATGAACTGCAAAGGAATTGATAATTTCTTGAGTCTTTTTTAACTGTATGTCAGCCAAATTAGATTTCTAATATGCATCAGTGTAGCCACTTTATGATAACCATACTTTTTCCATTTCAAAATTATGGATAACTTTAAATTTTCTACTTCTTTCTGTTTTCTAGTAATTTTTCTCTCCCTCTCTTTACCAACTACGTTTCACTACCATGGAAGCATGCTGTCTTTTATGCTACAAATTCAATAGTAACTGTCCTTCCAATTGACACTGTTTGTTTATCCCCATGTCTTCTTATCAATTGATCAGTGCATCATGCTATGCAAGAAAGTTTGTCTTTCTGTTTTCCTTTATGCTCACTCTGACATATGGAAGGAGATAACTTTGGTCCAAAGTAGACTTTTCTTTCCTGAATTTTGTTAGTTTTTTCCTTAAGATCAATAATGCAGAAGCTGTTTTTGAACTTTCTAGTTAATAATAACAACAAAAAAAAAATTCTTGTTGTACTCCTGTGGCATTTTAATAAAGGTTTTAAAAAATAACAAATATAAAAGATTTCTTCAGTCTGCCTAAAAGCCAATTTTTTTATCTTAAACAAGAATGGTGAAAACAAGTTTTTTTAGTGACATTAAACCCTTACTAGAAGCTGCACCTCTGAAGATGAGCCCCAGAAGAGTAACACTGGATTAGAATCACTTAAGGCCTTGTACAAAGAATGATGTTGTGTTGAGACTTACAATTTGTCTGCCACCCCCACAAACATCAGAAATAATTCGTACAGTTTTCAAAAAATCATTAACCATGCCTGATGGCATTCTCATTCTTGAATTACAACAGCTTTGCATAAACACAATCAGGTATTATTGTCCTGAGGCATAGAATGAAAATGGGAAACTAGGTACCTGTCCAAACTCATTGCAGTCATAATGGCACTGCATGTAAACTGGTTGCATGTGTCCAGGGAGGTAGTGATGGTGCAAAGAGGGCTACCAAAAACCCACTCGCCTCCACATACCCACCGGGGTATGAGAAAAGGCATGCCAATGATATGAACCAAATCTGCTATAGCCAGATTGCAGATGTAGATATTTGGGATAGTTTTTTTCTGGGTTCTGTAATAAATTGGAAGACATGAAGATGATTACTTGACATAGTAACTGTATTGTTTTTCAACTAGACTATCAATAGAACAGACCTCAAAACTGAACTTCAGACAAATAAAAACACCATCGGAACCACTGTTTTAGGGTCAGGGAAGTTTATCAACCCAAAGATATCCCAAACTAAACATTTTAAGCTCAACAAAAATATATTGTTCATAATTTTGCTTTCCAGTGAAGCTGAATAGGCTACTTAATTTATTGACATCAGCAAAATTATCCATGTTCGCCTTTGAAAACTATAAAGTGTTCAAAATAAACACAGGTGTGGTGGGCATCTGAACTCTAGGAATATCAGCCTAGCATAAATAGAAGATATCTGAGCCTTCCTGTAATGCAGTTGGCCGGGGCTAAATCCTGCTTAAAAATGCAGACATTCTTGACTGCTCAATGTAAAAAAAGAATCTGTACTTTCATACAGATTTTTGTACAGTTGCCTGTGGTGTCTCAGAGCCACAATATTTAAATGGTAACTTATGAAGTAAACTTTATAATTCACAAAAAAAATTTGCTACCTTTTATAATTTAAAACTGTTTTGCTTTTATTAAGACAGTTACGCTTGTCTTCTGCTAAAATGATCACTTTAGAAAAACAAAAAAATCAAATAAGAATAACCCCCAGGTAACCCACACCTTCACGCCCTCTCTCCCCTCCTGAAAATAATAGTTAGAGCCTCTATTTCAAACTTCTTTCTCTTTATCCTTTCAGGTTTTTTCTACCCTCTCATCACAGACTTCAAAGATCTCAGTAGTTTCTTATCCTTCCACCCATGCCAGGTTAATTTTCGTCTCTGAAACACCCTATGAAAAATGCACAAAAGCACAACTGCTGTTCTGTAAAATCTGAGAATATGTCAAATCTGTTCTACCTCCTCTTCAACTCTACTTCTACAGATTAAACGCATTAAAAATGGATCTGAATGTTGCCAATCCATAATAAAAAGAAGTATTGAGCACACATGACAATATAATAATCCATATACTGACTGTCTCTTCAGTAACAAATTCAAGAAACATGACAGGTGCATAATGTGTTGCCATTAGTCAGTATTTATCCCCTCTGACTGCACTGTGTGCCGTCATCAGAATTTATAGAGATCCTCCTGGACAGAAAGGTCTTCATTAACTTGAAGCTTAAATATTAATTTGGAATCAATCTTTCAGGTCAAAGACAAGATAATTTGTATGGATCACACATTTAAAATCATAAGTATATACCCTTTCTTCCCATGGGAAGGGTGAAAATGGAATCCCTGCAGCCACAAAAGTCATCCTCCCACCTAGGCCCATCTACCTCTACAAAATCTGTTATCAGCAAACCAGCCTAACTAGGAGAAAGTGATTTTAAATTTCCAGCTCTGATGTTAATCGCAGTCCCCTTTCCTTCTGCATGTAAACAAATTTAGGTGAATTTGGATAGTTCTCCCTTCTTCTGGTTCTGTTAGGTTATTTTCTGTTTGTTCTTTTTTTGTTTGTTTTGTGTTTTGGTTGGTTGGTTGGTTGGTTTTTTGTTTGTTTGTTTGTTTTCCTGTTCTTATTGCAGTCTTAATATCTTATTTTTCCTGGAAACAGCTGGTGAGAATTGTATTTCAGACCTTGCTATGAGCCTGGAAAATAGCATTAGCATTTTCCTCTTTCCCCTGGAAAGGCAAAGCCTTACATGTATTACAGCTGTGTGTGCTTCTCACACAGCTTTAGCTTAATAACAGCCCGTAGCAATCTTAGGAGCTTTTCTTCTGTTGTTTTCTGGAAAGAGTGCTTCCTATTTAAAAAAGAATATTGGTATGAAAAAGATTCTATAGGTCTGAAAACATTTCTATTGCTCTAGCCTCTCCTCTATTCTTTATCTGGTTCTTTCTGTTTGATAATCTTACACTGCTTCACATCAGACACATCTCCCTAGTGAATGTCACTAGGAATACTATTGACCCACTCCTATACTTTGCCTCAGGTCTCTGAGGGAAAATATGGTATCTGCCTAGCCCCACAACCAGTCCCCGAAAATTACATATTAACTGATTTTCTCCTGAAAATTTTTTCATGAAACTTGTTTTTTTTATCAATATTTCCTAGTACCCTCCACACTTGAGCTATTTTTTCTTATGTTGTAGTTCTACTCATGAAATTGTTCTTTAGCTGAGTTAATATTTCCAACATGATAACATGAAAAATCTTCTAACACAAAATCTAGCTCTATGTAGAGGTTTCAAAAATTTTATGCCAGTGACTCTACATTCGGTTTCAAATACACCTTCTCCAGCTGAAGAATGCAATAAGTGCCTTGACTCTCATTTGCAATCTCTGCATTTTAGGAAATGTTATTTTACCACTCACTATTATGTTATCTTATTCAAAATCAAGTTAATCTGAAAAGGAGTACTTTCAGATAATTGAAATTTTTTTTGATTCCCTTTACTCTTCTGTTCCATACTTTTTCTTAAAGATATGAAGTCAGACTAATGGGTGGTCTGGATTATATTTTCCTCCTCCGTACAAAGCCACAGTTGTTCTCCCAGCAGCCACTCCACCAAAGTCAGTGGGTTTACATAAAAATCTTGCTAACAGAATTGCAGGTCTAAGGACCAGCTTTTCTAGATTGTTGGGATGAAGATTATTTCATCTTTTGGGCTAACACAGAACCCTTGCAGCATTTTTTTCATCATTTTCTTTTTACTTAATAGTAGCATATCTCAATTCCCTGTATTATTCCCAAGGGATGAAAGTAATTTACACAAGGAGGGCCAGCCAAAAGCCACTGAGCTAGTAATTTTTAAATTAAATCTCACTGCATAAGCATATATTACATGCAAGATTCACTAGGACTTTCAGCTATTTCCTCCCAGTAAGTTGCAGATGATATAACTTTAATTTACACTTAAAAATGTCTGTCCCTAGCTGGCAGACTTGCAAATGAAATTGGGGAGCTGAAATTCCAAGGTCTTTTCTTTATCGTTTTCTACAGTCAATAAAGCTTTTGCTACCAGAAAGTAAATAACTTTCTACTTTATTAGAGAAATAATCTAGCTTCCTTTTCTCTTAAAAGAATTGTCTCTGTAATGTTAACAAAAGTAAAATGTTGGCATGAAAAAATGTGTTCAATAAAGAGAGAAAAAAGACAACTTTGAAGCAGAGCCACTGAGTACAATCAGATCTGTTTAGTGGAAGATGAGAAGATTATCGACACTATTAAGTTTCAAAATGTAGCTAAAATTTAAATGTACCTTCATCTACAGCATCTGAGGTTTGTTTCTTTTGTGGTGTTGGTAAATACCACATTAACTTTTTAACACACTATTTCCAAATTCTTTTCCTGAATATAAATGTTCATGCCCATACATTTGAATGCTTGTAATTTTCTCAAGCAAATATGGTTTAAATTATATTCCTTTTATTTCAAGTCATTGTCTGTGTCTTTTCTCTCTGCCTCTCATATTTTTATTTAAGTTAGACAAAGGCTTTTCACCAAGGGAAAATAATAATTTTTGTTCCTTGTTATTTTCCTTCTATTCTATTATTTTAGAGACACTACAACTAATTTTTTCCCCCTTTCTATTCATTCGTACATTTCAAAAGTCATATTGCCATTATGTTCACTTCAGACATACTGTTTTCACATTTGTTCCCTTCTGCATTCAAATTATGAACTACAGTGTTCTTGAGTGCACCAGGCACTGAATTTCTATTAGTTTCAAGGGAGGTATACTAAAGCCCAGACACTTAGCCCTCCATTGGCCTTTGCAAACCTTTCCTATGAAAGCACGGTATGTTGAGGTGGAGTCCATCTATTAGTCCTTGCAGAGTGTGATGATTGGTAGCCTTATGTGCCATATTTCTTCATGTTAAATTTGCACCACAGATAAAAGCCACTTTTGCAAGATGCATGCTTATGGATTTAGAGTTTGTGGTAGCATCAGCCTGTTGAGAGTAAGTGTGGTTTGTGGCATTTTTTTCTCCTTCTGTTAAAATTAAGATATTAGAAAGTATTTTTTTTTCCATAAAGGATGGTTGGGTCAGATTTTATGACTCCTCAAAAATAAACAAGTTCAGCAATTTCACTTTCTCAGCATACAACAAAAATATCTTGAGGTATTAATTCCTGCCATGAGAGAAACCTCAACTAGCACTAAGACCCATTTCCAGAAGTAAGGTGATGCTGGAAAACAGCAATGAGTTCTAGGAAGTTGCCGTAAATCGGCAGAAGTCAGATAAAGCTCTGTTACTAAAAGAGTCTGGGGCAGAAGTACAGTTTTCAAAGGAGACTATATTTCAACTGATCTTAAAAGAATTCTGTAGAACATTATAATCCCTTGTTATTACCATAACTAAAGTTTAAAGTTTAGTCTAACTTTTACATGTGCTAGAGGGAAGATTTCTGCCAATTCTAATGGAAACCCAGGAAGAAGGCATGTATTTCAGTTTTCTTGAATATGTTTGAAGTCAGTCATGCACTTCAGTCCTTTCTTATAGCTGAAAAGGGTAAGCAGGCATAAATTACTGCTATCTATAATCATGATTTAACTTTTATTTTTTTAAATAAGAAGTAAATGTCAATGAATAAAAGGAACATGAAAAACTTGCTAGCCTTGTCTTTGATGGGCAATCTATTTCCCTATTTATGCAATAAGTCTTATGGGAAAATGTATTCCATTCCATACCTTATTATTGTGAACACAATGAGGATATTTCCAACTAAGTCTGTTGAAGAGATAATCCCAATCAGAGAAGGAAGGATGATTTTCTCTGCAGCACTGATCACCTTGTGCCATCCACTCCAAGATCTCTCAGTCAAGCCTTGTGTACCATTCTGACAGAAAGGCTGAAATTCACTCGTTTTTCAGTGATTTTAGCATTTAGTTCTGTAGTAGCAAGAGAAAATTAATTATTGATGGATAATAATTTGGATCTCAATAGTTAAGTCTCACATCTCAGTGTGTACTACTGTTTAATGATTATCTGAATTTTGTAAAAATTTTCACAGAAAGATTTTGTATATTCAAGATTGTACATGAAAGAATTGGATTATGTTATTTTCAAAATGAAATCTGTTATGTAATAACTCCATTACAATTTAAACAAACATGTAATCATCCAAGATACACCTTTTAGTAACAGAGTGTTTACTCTACTCTCGGAAAGTGCTGTGGCAACTTCTCTTGGCTAGGGTGATCCAAATCAATTTTCCAATCAAACCCTCTAATCGAATCCTTCTTCAGTTTAAGAGCATTCTTCCTTGTCCTATCTCTACATGTCCTTGTGAAAAATCCCTCTCCAGCCTCCTTGTAAGCCTCCTTTAGGAGGAAGGCTGCTATAATGTCTCCCCAGGGCATTCTCTTGTCCAGGATGAGCAACCCCAACTCTCTCAGTCTGTTTCTGTAGGAGAGGTGCTTCAGCCCTCTGATCAACTTAGTGACCCTCCTCCTGTTGGTCTCGTTCCAACAGATCAACATCTTTCTAGTGTTTGGAGCCCCAGAGCTGGATGCAGTACTCCAGGTGGAGTCTCAGAAAAGCAGAGGAGAGGGGCAGAATCATCTCCCTTGACCTCTTGGCCATGCATCTTTTCATGCAGCCCAGGACACGGCTGGCCTTCTGAGCTGTGAGTGCACAGAGCGCTGGGTCATGTCGAGCTTTTTGTCCACAAACACCCCCGAGCCCTTCTCCCCAGGGCAGCTCTCAATCACTTTGCCCAGCCTGTACTTGTGCTTGGGATTGTCTAGACCTAGGTGCAGGACCTTGCACTTGGCCTTGTTGAGCTTCCTGAGATTCATTGCTAAACCCTAACTTTACAAAGGCCAAGAGCTATCTTTCCCTTTTTGTTGATGTGGCAATAAAGATGGAAAAGTGTTAACTGGTTATTTGTCTAAGGTTCTTGAAACAATGTAAAGATTTCACTGTTAAAGCTCCTTAAAAAAAATCTGCCTACAAGTTACTTAAAATAGGTGTGCTCTGAGCACTGTCTAACTCAGTCATTTTACACACAAACAAAACTGTTATCTTGTATCATAAATCAGTTTGAATGGGTATGCTAGAACTCTGGTGATGCTGGGATGCTTTGCTAGCAAGTGTCCTGACCATGTTTCTGTGTTTCTCTTGGAAAATTTACAGCTTGTTTGCTGTAAGCAGCATGACGTGTAACTCCTTGGGTTATTGTTTAAGCAGCCAAAATGAATAGCAGCTGTGGAATGGGTCAATTTAATTTGCTGATACGAGTGTGAGAGAAATAGAAGTTTACCTGTGTATCAACTGCACCTTTCTTGAAAGTGATGAAATTTTGTTTCTTATTTCTAGGAAGAAAAAAAAATAATAAAAAATAAAATAAATAAAATAAAATTTAATGTATGAGATTGTTCATAAGCGGATGTATTAACAATTGGGTGAGGGCAGCTCTGTTCAAAAGAAGAGAAGAGGAAAAGGAAAGTAATTAAGCAGAGGTTTACCTACTTGGCCAAAGAACTGAAGAAGAAATTTGAACTGCAGAATACCTGCCTCAGTTCTGTAAATGGTCACTAATACAGACTTTTCACCATCAAGCAACAAGGCCATCTGCACCATGATGACAAGATGCTGGAAAGGTGAGTAAGGTAAATGTAACTGTTGAAGTCATCCACTTATATCCATTGAGCCTGAAGGCCTTGATGCAGCACATATATCTTTAACAGTTGACATGACTTTTTATAAGGGTGGATGTTGGATACTTACCATTGTCCCACTGTCCCACTTGGACATAGTGCTAAATTTCAGACCAAACAGTAACTGGACACCAAGTCTAGTTAATCTTTGGCTTGCTTAGGGTCTGTCCTAGTATTTTAACTCACTGGGATGTTATCACAGAACTGGGATAATTGCTGCTTATGCTTCTTGTATTGAGTTTGCATGGTAAGGCTTTGGTAGTGTGGGGGTTGTTACAGGGGTGGTCTCTGTGGGAAGCTGACAGAAGCTTCTGCTATGTCCTACAGAGCTAATGCCAGCCACCTCCAATATGGACCTGCCACTGGCCAAGGTTGAGCCTGTCAGTAGCAGTGGTAGCACCTCTAGGATAACAGATTTAAGAAGGGGGAAAAGAGTTACTGTGCAACAGCAACTGCAGCCAAGAGGAGTGAAAATATGTGAGAGAAACAGATCTGCAGATGCCAAGGTCAGTGGAAAAGGAGGAAAAGGAGGTGCTACAGGCACCAGAGCAAAGATTCCCCTGCAGCCCATGGTGTAGACTATGGAGAGGCAGGCTACACCCCTGTGCAACCTGATGGACAAATCTTCAAGACCAAGTCATAGCTAAGTGATATCACATTTACTTGTCAAGTATAATCTTCCTTTTTTTTTCCTTTCTGTGTGACGCACTGCCTACCCCCAGGAGAGGTATGAAACTTTCTGGCTATTCCTCCTTTGCTCACAACAGATTCTTTTTGCCTTCCTTGACTTTATTTGTAGTCTATGCCTACATGGTTGTATTAGAGACAATGGCAGGTAATCTGGGTTTACACTTTTTGCAAATACTCATCTAAGAAAACAACTGTAGCTTTCAAAAACAACCATTAAAATTTTCATGTTCTTAATAAGACCTCCTATCCAAAATAATAACCTTGAATTAACAAACCATGGTTGTATAGACAAACATCTATCCTTTTGATAGATCCTTTTCTTTGGGAAGGTGGAGGATGAGGTGAGGGTGGGTTAGTGATGGAATATAATGACAGAAACCTGGAAAATACTGAAAATTTTCCTCAATATATGACATTTTCATTAAGTCATTGAATTTTAATGACATCATAACAGAAGATTTGCTTGGAGATTTCTATGTAAGACCAATGCAAATTCAATAACAGTAATGCTTTCACAGATTTTTTTTCTGTAAAAACCTTAACTACTCCTTAGCTGCTACTATAAAGCAGATATTTATTGAACCTGAGTTAAACTATTAATGGAAGACGTTTTTCTTCACATGGTATGACTTGACTTCACATGAGTCTGATATTAAAGTGCAAAAAAATTTTTAAACCTTATGTTAATGCTTGATGGTTCGGCTGCACAACAGCATTTAAAAAAAAATCCCATTTATATTCCATTTTTTTTCTCAGTTTCTGACACAAAGATATCTGTGTCTTCTTCAGTAAATGTGAGGCAATGAATGACCAGCAAAAATTATCATCCTGTCTCATTCCAATGAGTAGAAAATATCAGAAAATTATAATTCTTTCAAAAAGTTGAATTAATGACTTAAAACATAGCTGTCGTATCACACAAATATTTCTTTAGTCTTTCTACTTGCTTCTTTCTATAGACACAATCCAAAGCACTTTGTCTAAAATAGTGCCACAGCATCACTCTCCCCAAGACAGGTTGGAGAGATACTGACTCTCACCGTTCCCCCAGGCAACTAACCTTCATCAGCATTAATTGAAGTCACACACATACATTTCCACTAAAGGCAAACATCAATCCAAAAGTAGATTATTTTTCTTTTTTATCGTTAACCCCCCCACACCGACAAACAAACGAAAACAAACGAACAAAAAACAAAGCAGAAAAAAAAAATCCCTCATGGCTGATCACAGAGCACAAAAATTCAGAAAATTGCAGCATCCTCGGTCAACCTTCCCTCTTCCGGATGCACCTGCCGACCCTCCACGCCACTTGTCCCCGGGGACGCGGGAGCCTTCCCGCTCCCTCTGCATCCTGCCGTCCCGCTCCCTCTGCATCTCCCCGTCCCGCTCCCTCTGCATCTCCCCGTCCCGCTCCCGCGGAGCCCCACTGCCCGTACGCCGAAGGAGATCCCCCGCCGAGGTGTCCCGAAAGCTCCCCCTGCTACAGCGGAGGGGTAAGTGCTGCTTACCCCTCTGTAAGAGTGCATCTGCAACCGTGCTCCGCTCCCATCCCCTACTGAAACTGGACCTGCCGCTTTGGCGAGCGATCTTCGGCGGAACAGGAGGGAACAGCGAGGCACACCCAGCACACCTGCTGCTGTGCCCATTCCTAAACACACAAACATTAAATACAAAGACCCAGTATGGTAGTTACCCTGGAGAAAACAAATAAACAAATAAACAAACCCTCAATCTTTGTAAGGAGATTAAAAATCACAGAAAATTATGACATCTATTTTACTGCCTGAGTTCCACAACACTTACATCTTCACAGTTTGAAACCTCCTTGGTGTTTCAGGGAATCCTTCTTATGAAATACGAAAGAACAGAGGGAAATGGCAGTATCTGCACAACATCACAATAATTGTCAAAGAACCCTGGTAATTGCTGAACTGTATTTAAGCAGAGATGATTGGACACCTCTGGTTCAGGCTATTCAAATTATAACACCTGTTTCTGGTTCTGATATGCAAAGGTTAATGTCTAAATATTTTTTTTTAATTCCTTCTCTCATGTAAGTACAGGAATTCATAGGGGTTTTTTTAACAGTGGAGTTAGTCCATTTTTTGGTAGTAAATTTTCATAAATAAATACTGTAATGGAAGACTTCTGAAGCCAAAAAAACCCAGTACTGTAATGTTAACTGAAGACTATTGTCACAACCACCTTTCAAACTGAATTTTTGGCAAAAATATTTCAAATGTGGTGGAAATCTATTTTTTTCTGAAACATTCCTGATTTATCTCATCTTAAAGACACATCTCAGTTGACTAAATTCAGAATCAACATTACCATTTTAACTCCTGTAATAAAAATATCTTATTCCAAAATGCTGAATTGTCTCTAAAAATGGAACACTCCCACCATACCCTCTGATAGAATTGCAACACACATAGAAGCATGAGAAACAGAAACAGTTTCAGTAGACTGGGTACATGAGAAAGGCTACGAGGAAAAAATAATCAATTTGTGAAAG